GGAATGGATACTCCTATCACTGTGGTTTTCTTCTTCTCTTAAGTATTATTTTAACGCCTGTTTATCATCCATCAGCACTAACATGGGCCGATATATTAATATTGTTCCCATCTCTTTTTGAGAAGTTTTCGTTTGAATTAAACTGTTCCATTGTCAGTTGACTTATGTTTGTGGGAGGGTCAGCGTAGTGATCTGATGTCCGGGAAGGGTGCAACAGGTTATGCACCGTTACTGTGAGAGTACAGCACTGTACAATGAACTTTTGAATGGAACTGTACCTAAAATTACACTCTTATGTATGTCATTTTTGCCCAATTCTTTGACCATCATCAACGTTTAATGGCCATTTTTCATGCTTGCACAATTACAGTACTTGACGGCAGCTCTCCATGTTGTATAGTCTCTTGCAGTCTCTCTTGTCAGGTTCTTAACTCTAATGTCATTTCTTACAACCTTTCCCCATGTCCTTCTTGGCCTGATCCTGGCTCTCTTCCCCTTTACATTTAAGCTAGTACCTCTTGACCAAATTGATCTCATCCATTCTCTCTGCATGCTCAAACAATCTCAGCTTGCCTTTATGTAGGACTTTACAAATACTGTACTTTCAATACCTAGTTGCCATCTTAGCCCTGTCATTCAGTCTCACATTACACATCCACCTCACCATTTCAGCTCACTCAAGTCTACCTACGTTATCCTCTTTAACTATTTCACTGCTATACAACATAACACTTCTCACACCAGCCAAATATACTACATTCTTTATTTCACTCAGTTGGAAGGTCCTCTTGCCACCAATGAAAGCAGCAGGTTGCTAAACTTCCTCCAGCCACTTCTGACTCTTGCAACTGAGCTTGCTTCTGCACCACCTTCACCACTGAGCATGTCACCCAGGTAACAGAACTCATCAACACAGTCCAAGGACATATTTCCATGTTGAGCTTCTCCAGCCTTGCTGTGGGCACATGGTTACTTGCATGTACAGAACACTTTAAAAGTTAGCAACATCCTATAGTCAGCCAACTTACTCTACTGTACCTCTTGTGTACCCACCTTCCACACTCATTGTCCATTAGTGAATTGCTGCAAACACCTTTCTTACATACAGCACACCACCATTTTCCACTTCCACCGATCAACATAAAATGCTTCTCTTACATTCTTCTCCTTCAAGTCCCACACTCTCATGGAAAACACATTTTCTTCCTTCCTCTGCACCTTGTAAACACGTCACACACAAGCAATCTGTGGTGGATTTACAGGGGCTCGTTAGATTTTGTGCAGTGTGGCAACTCTGTGTTTGTTTACATTCAACAGAAAGAAACTAGGAATAGTAAACATAATATGAAATGAAATTAAAACTAAATTAAAACAAATGTCTTAAAGATAATGATTTGTGGAATGTTAAAATGACAAGCCCCCTGTAAATGCACTGAAGGGGACTGTACATTCTTCCTCAGCTATAACCTTTACATCCCTAACAAGCTTCCTGTCTGATTTCCGAATGAGAAAGTAATCAATGCGTGTTTTTGTGCAACCTGACTCATACATACTCCAACTCTCATTAAGTATGTTGCATACAACCTTGTTCATTGCATCCCCAAACTGAAATATTCTTTCTCCTTCCACATTTCTTGTATCGTAGACTTTTCGACTATGTACAGTAGCTAAAACAACTACCTGTGCAGGTGGAGGTCGATATATTCTGAAATTTTACGTGTGATTAGTGACATCCCTCATATACCAAAATTTATCGTTCCATGGTCTCATATTGTTTCCCACAAAGTATGCACAGATAGTTGTTTTAGCTACTGTGCACCTTTATAACCCTCAGTGTGTACACTGACATGAAACAGTACAGGTACTACATTATCTTTCACCAAACTCTTAACAGTACATGCAAAAACTTATCCCAGAACTCACCCTCACTTAGCCCAACTTATAGGGTGTATGTAGATATGACAGTCATCAGATCCTTTCCTACTAGCAGCTACAGAACCATGTTTCTTGCATTCACCCATTTCACGTCTAGCACTTTTTGGCTACCAAGATCCCCACACCACCTTCTCCAGATTCACTCCCCTTCCAAAACATCATGTAATTTATCATTTTAACCAAAAATCATCTTTACTGAGCCACCATTCCACCTCGTTTCTTGCAGGTAGCAGACAACGAGCATTCTTCGGCTAAATCTTACTGCTCTTCCATGCACTGTACCTACATTCAGACTTACCAGTTCTGAACCCAAATATGTTGGGTTCCTTTCATTTGAACACATGCACTTTCTTGTGGCATTCATTTCTGTGGTGTGGGTGGGTTTTGTGTTTATCAAGATTGGTAATAAGAGTTGGGTACCACTGCAAACCCGAGTACAGGAATACCTCGCAATTTGCAACCTCGCTAATCTGCAATTGACATTTTAACACCCCTGTTCAATATTTGCAAAGCATACCCAACTTATTAGCAAAGAAAATTAATGACTAATATTTTCAAACTACAAGCGCTAGCTGCAGTTCTAATATTCAGCTGTAAGGCCCGCTTCACACAAGTGTGTTTTTTCCGCATGTGAGGGCGTTTATGGTTTAGAAATTTTAATGAAGTTCAATGGGACCATTCACACAGTGCACGCAGGTAAATTTTCATGCGCAGAAGCTCACCCCACACCTGTACTTCCAAACTGCGGCACAAAAAACACGCCAAGATTTTTAAAATTCTTCAAAGGGCAATGGTTAATGCTAGTTTAATCACACACACACACACAGTGTTCTTTTGTATTGTTTTTATTGTATTGTTATTTTATTGCATTATATTGAGTGTACCTTTAAAATGAAAAATATGTTGCTAGTACTGTAAATAAATAATAGGAATGAAGGATGGGTGTATCTGTGTGTGAAAGGAATGTATGTGTGGACTTTGCATGTCTCCAAGTTAGATTGTCTCTGTAATTAGATTGTCCCCCTACCAGCCAACCTGTGTTGTTATTATTTTTCAACTCCTATTTTTGGATAGATAAACATAACTTTATTTTTTTTTTACTGTTACATGCACACACAATCGTTCATACAGAATGTGCAAAAAATAAAAATAAATATTCAATAATAATAAAAAAAAAAACCGACTGTATTATCATAAGGTCAAAACGTAAAATAGAATAAAAATTTCTTACCTCCGCAGTAGCTAGTGAGCGATCGTGGGAAGGAGGTGGGGGAGTGGGAAGGGGTGCAGCATTGGGATGGTAGTGGGTGGTGATGGGAGTGTGTTGTGAGGTAGTGGTGGGGGTGGGTGGTGATGGGAGTGTGGTGGTGGTGGTAGTTGGTGTGAGGTAGTGGCAGTTGGTGGTGATGATTGGTGATGAGTGTGGTGGAGGGTGGTGTGAGGTAGTGGTGGTGACATGAGTGTGGACTGTGGTAATGTGTGGTGTGAGGTAGTGGTGTTGGAAGGTGTGAGGTAGTAGTGTGACAAGTGTGGTGGTAGGTGGTGTGAGGTAGTGGTGGTGATGGGAGTGTGGTGGTGGGTGATGAGAGATAGTGGTGTGGGTAGTGTGAGGTAGTGGTCGTGATGGGAGGTGTGAGCTGCATTATTGATATTTTTTAACTAGTATTTTGGGGTAGATAATTATATGTAATTTTCTTTATTTTTATTTTATTTTATTTTTACTTTCACACATGCACACAAAATCATTCATAAAGAATGTGGAAAAAAAAAGATTATCAGAAAGTCAAAAAACATTTCTTACGAGCACATAGGTAGGAGAAGGGAATGGTGTTGAAAATCTCAGCCACTCCAGTCTTCCACGTGTAGTGAAACTATTACCAACTGGCAATGCAGTATTTTTTCTTTTATTTTAATTATTAGTATAATATTGATCTATTCTCACATTTACTGGTACTACAGTGTACATGCAATCCTGGTCCCTAATAGCCTAAGATAATGAAGAGTGTACAGTAAGTCCTCGTTTAACATTGTTTCGTTATAATGTCACTACTCTGCAGATACCCATGATTCGGACAACATCACGCAGATTCGGTATCACATCGTCACAGACTACTTTGTACAGCGCATCACCCTTTCTCACCCGGTCAGAGCGGGAGGAGGAGCCACCCTCCTCCTCCTCTCCACTACCCACCACACACTCGCTCCACCTCCACCCATCAGTGAGTACAATACAAAATGATTTAGTAAATTTATCATTTTGGATGTATAATATACACTATTTTCTAAAAAAATTCCACTGAATTTATGTATATGAAATATATTTTACGGGGCAACGGGAGGCTGGGGAATGTAACTCCTGTATTTTATCTATTTCTTATGGGAAAATCGATTCCATTAACGTCGCGGTTTTCAGGAATGGAACCACGACATTAAGCGAGGACTTACTAAATAGCAAAAAATATGTAGTGAAAGTTGCCAACTGGGACCACATCTCCCCCTTTATACATTAATTCTTATGGGGGAAAATTGCCCTGATATTTGCAAATTCGTTATTCGCAATGATTTTCAGGAATGATCCTTTGTGATAAGGGGTATTCCTGTACCGACACATTTCAAGCTCGCCAAGGTGCTATTTAGGACAAATTTAAGGATACTGTATTTATATTCATTCTGTCAAGCTATGGAGGCAAGAACAGTTTTGAGTTTCAAAATAGCTCTGGAGACAATTATATTAAGAACAATGAAGATGTCCTACACAGGCCACTGGCCTCCTTTCCTTGGAATGGCCACCTCTAGTTGGGGTGACCATTAGGTAAATTAGTTATGTGAATTATAATGAAAAATTTTTTAAGACAAAACTTTAAGATCTACAAAATGTAAATACATTATGCATCAAAGCTTTTCAAATAAATCATATATTCATTATAAAAAATGTAAAACACATTCTAAATGAATTAACTTCTTTCAAATTAATAAAACCTTTCAATGTTCACTTTAAGAATGTAACTTGAAAAATCAGTATCAAAACATACACCATAATCAGGGACAAGAAGAAAATTCAAAAAAGAGATTAACATTAATCATGTTCTCAAATACAGAATTAAAACCTATATCAATTGCAATACATCTAATATAGCACAAAAATAAGCAATGAAACATTTATTATGTTACATGATAAAATGGGAGCACAGAACATACTAGACTTCAGGTCACTATATTACACAATGCACTGGGGTGATTTATTATGCAATGCTATAAAGCAATCATTATTGGTATATATGCATGGCTATGTAGTGCAACAACCATAATACACTACATACTGAAATTAGAGTGGGGTCATTAGCTAAAGGCAGCCTGGTAGAGGCTGCAAGAAAAGATTAAATAGGTTACGAGTAAACACGAGTTTCTTGAGGCTAAGACAGCAAAGTTACAGAAATACTAAGGTATGACATACAATAACATATGGGGCCTAGATTTATAGCAGTTTGATTATTTTTTTATCTACATATTTAGTTATACTTTTTTATACAGGATAGTCATGCATTTGTCCAGGATACTGCACTGACCAAACTGCAATTGAATATTTTGTTAATTCTTTTGCAAAACATGTCAGATCACAACAGTGCAAACATACTCCAGTGAAATATGCTACACACAGCTCAAAGCTCCTATTTTATTATAGATATAAAAATTAAACAGCTCACTCACCCCATAAATTGCAATAATCAACTAGGTGACCCAAGTCTGAGCATGGGATGGATGTCACTGTATTTAGAACAGATATCCCTGTGTGGATAAATAACAATCTGACAGTACAGAAAATTAATAAAATGTTTCATTTTGATACATTTGTGTGAGAGCTATAAATTCACATGAGTAACCCTCAAATTATTAAATACATTGAAGTCTCTGCTTTAGAGGTTTCTTCACTTGTGGAAAGGCATAAGTAAACATTTGATCTAGATTGTATTTAGCTGCATATTTCAGAGTCTTGTTAAAAAGATAATTGTTTTGTTGGCCATATGGACTCTTCATTCCTTTCCTGTTAGGTAAGTTAAATCCAAGATCTTGGTGATGATCTTCTGAATAGCTTTTTTTGTTGGGTGAAGCTAATGGGCATAAGGGACTGAGATTTGTGTTGCTAACCCTCTCTATACAAGGTTGACCCTCATGATGTGGTGTCAGATTAGTGGTCCAAACTTTAGCTGGTGTTTTCTCCCGCATCATGGATAGTGATATTTCATTTGACAACTCTAGCCTTTCACTGGCATGTATATTCTCCAGGAGATGGCTACTGTTAAAATTTTCTGAGACAGTTACTATATCCACTTTATTCTGCCTTGGACTGATCACTTCACTAACACTGCATACATCATTTTGCCGAGGATTGATATGTGAACAGTACCTATCATCTTCATGAACAAACTGAGAATTCTTTGGGTTATCAGATATATTTTCACAGACAAGAGAGAGATTCTGAGCTGCAGGAGCAGAATATATCATAGGGTGATCTTGGGTGGAGGGTTGTTTATTGTGAGAACTCCTTAAGAAGTCTTTCATTGTGCGTTGGTGTCTTTTCTCCCAAGGCATCAGCATCAAGGTTGAGCTTGATCTCTTTACTTTAATGCTCTTCCTCATATCCGATGTCCTTAAGGAATGTGAGTGATATCTTCGTTCCATTGTTTTATCAGTAGTCTAAGATGAATTTTATCTTTCACAGACTAAAGTTATCTACAAGTTGGTTTAGATGCCTTATTTTAAGATTCTTCTATGTTTCCATTTTTATTTCAAAGTTTTTTCACAATGAACAAATACAATTTAGTACTGTATATGATTTACTATATGACAAAACAAAAGAAGGTGGCCTATTTAAGTCTTGGAGAAAACAAAATATCACAGTAAGATGAGAACATCACAAACACTGAGCAGGTGTCTTATACAAACTATTTCTATATTATTTTCACTTCATGCAATCTTCATGTGTAAAAAAATTCATGACAATGTTGTTTGGATGATGTGTTAAAATTACATGATAATAACAATGAACAAATCTTTTTACATTCCAATGATCCCCAGATTATAGTAAACTGATAAAAATGTAGAGGAAATTGGATGCCAAGTTACATAAAAACTATGAATGAATTTCCTGTGATTCCAGTAGTGGCTATTAAGCAGCTGTCACATATCTTCACACTGAGAGTCAACAAGTAAATGCTAAGATATTCTGAAGAAAAAAAATATAACTAATAGCAGATTTTAACCATAAAAAAAAATTTCCAGTTGTGCCAAACTCATTTGTCTCAGAAAATAAACATACAAAATCTAAAAACAACTGTTAGGTCTCCAATAACAATCACTCACTCATTTAAATTTCCCTAATAATGCATCTTTGATTTTAAGTTCATATCAGACAAGAAGCATGGTCAGAAAAGCTTCACAACAAGCATCAAAGTTAAAAATCTTTCTATCAAGTGTTTTCGTCACAGTTGAGTAAAACCAGGATACTTAAGGAGCAGTTGTCACATGCAACTACAACCTCCTTCTCAGTTGAATTTCTCGCATCCTGGGCGGCCAGCGTATAGTGTCCACCACACCGACATGTGTGGAGATAAACGCCTTCTTCTCTGTCTCGTTCCAGATCTTCAAGAAACAACTCCTCACTTACAGGAAACTCTTGATAAAGCTGGAACAGTTGAAAGAGCATAACATAATTAAAATATATATAAACCCAAGACCATAACACTGTTCCCCAAGGCTCTATAAAGGCCTTGAGCCATGGCCAACCCTTGAGAATGGCAAATCAATGAAGCTGCCCTGGGGATCATTGCACCACTCATGACAAATGTTCTTGACAGCATACTTTGTCTTTTTAATGAATTTCTTAGTTTCCAAGTCCAGTTCCCATTCTCTAACAGAATCTGTACGTCATGTAATTTCAGTGGTTTCATGCAATAATGTCCCATTTGACAAGTTACATGTGTTCTTGAAAAAGCATTTGTCGGTTAAATTCTCACTATATGGGACCAACTTTCCCATAGGTTCCCAAGCTGAAAGCCAAGATGTGTTCCTGTCCCTTAAAATACTTTAGGTTTATGTAATGTTTATTCAAGACACCTTCAGGTCAAGAGACCCACTAATCCCCCACCCAAGAAAGGGTGACCAGACATTGCATCAGGTCAGGTCAGGTCATGTCAAGTCAATTACATAAAACCCATTAATCCCCCAGAGGCTCCATGGGAGTGGAAAATACCACTCCTTGCTGTAACACACAGCTTCATTCACAATCATATCATATAGAATTTTTTTTTTTAATATATTTATTTAACCAAATTTTAGATAAACTATTCTGGATTATTATAGTAAAGAAATGGAGTTTCTAACTTAATTATAACTGCATTTACAGACTCATGTACACGTAGTTTAGACTCGAGGAAAACATCCCCAGCACCCAGAAAATGTTCTGGGTGCAAGAGGTCTAGTTTAGACACTCAGAAACTTTTCCGAGTAACCGGAAAAGATTCCGGGGATAAGGAATTTCTCCAGGTTTGAGAAAGTCGTCTGGTTAGCCGGAAATCTCTCATCCCCAGAAGTGCTCTGCACCAATTGTTCTGGCTAATTGGGATAGCACTGTGTTTGGTTCAGTTATGGGCTCATTTTTAAGATTATGCATTAGGAGAGACAGCAAAACAAGTGCCCAGTCTGCATGTTCTTTTTTTTTTGCCTCCTGAACTGTAGATTATTATTATTATTTTTTTTTAATTTTGTTATCAGTACCAAGCATAAGCCATTGCTGTACAAGTTTTTTATAATGTGATCTTGCATAAATGCATGAATAATATTTGGATTATGCCTCACAAGTCATTTTTGAGCTGTCCTAAGTCACCCCAAGACGAAGACAATTTTCACATACTGTACCTCCATTAAAGTTACATTTTCAGGTAAAGTACAGGGGGCCCCCCAAGTTCACAGATTTTTATTTCGCGGTATTCGCGGATGATACCCTGGATGTACCCAAGAATGTCTGTGGGTAGTTTTAAAGTTGCCGGCATGTTCGCGGCTGGGACAGGGAGCCATTCATTCTAGAGACAGTAATTTCCTTTAACTGTACTATTGTAAATATATGTGTGTGTGTGTGTGTGTGTGTGTGTGTGTGTGTGTGTGTGTGTGTGTAGAGACACACAAAAAAACACATGCAAATAAATAATTATTGGAAAATCCTCTCACAAATAATCAGAAACAAATTGATTAAAAGTATGACAGTGTTTTATTACTTTATTATGTTTCTGATTATTTGTGAGAGTATTTTCCCATTATTATTTATTTGTATGTGTTTTATGTGTGTGTGTCTACACAGACACACATAATATATATATAATACAGGTAAAAGTAATAATTGTCCTAAGGGCAAACACATAAAGGGAATATACATTTCTTTGTACACAAGTAAAATTGTTCGCAAATGTTATTTGCGGATTTGGCGATTCGCGGCCATTTTGAGAACCTAACCCCCGCAAATTTGGAGGGTCCCCTGTATATAGGATATACTGTATCGAGTACCCCAGATTGTTTCTAAATTTTCAAGATAGACAAGTTTCTAATATTTTTCACAAGTTACCGGTATATTACAATACTGTATGTACTCTGGTATGCTCCTGCTAGAGAAAGTTTTGCAACACTATTTGAAATTTCCGAAAAAAATGGATTTTGATTACAGTACAAGGGATCCTCGTTATAAGTGGTTAATAGGGACCAGAAAAAAAGCCACTGATAATGAAACCACTTATAAAATGGAATTAATTCCCATAAAAATTAATAGGAATACGGTCTAATCAGGACCATCACATTGTAAGTGACACTCATAAAGTTTAATTTGGTATCTTTTAACGTTAATATATATATCTTAGAAACATTGATTAAACATTTGATTACACACCATTTTATGAAATTATTTAACTTTCTAACTTATTAAAGGCACTTAAAGTAGTTTGGAGTTGGTGCATTGATCGGCTCAAGCGACCTAACCATGCTTTCACACACTCATTTCACTGAAAGTGGTTTATTAAGACATGCTCACCACTTTTCTTAAGAAAAGTAACTCTCTAATTTCAATTCCATCCCATAGCTACTATGCTTCCTTTTAGCCACTTCACCACTTTGCTTCGGTTTGGAACTGATGGCTACAAAAATAGTTCACCAATGTCACAAAGACACAACAAGGTTGATAATTATAGTTCTTGGAGCACTTCATAATAATGCCTGTGGACACAGGCAACTAGTGCTGAGCATGCATAGTGCGGGTGAGAAGGATGTCTTTTAAGAGAATGGGAGGCAGGTGGGAAATTCAATTGCTCAAACACTTGTGCTCCCAAAGATTGATGGATTTCAGCCTTAGAGTCCTCTTATCTGCGGGGACTTTTTATGTGTAGGTCCACAATTATTTGACCACTTAAGTGCAAAACCACTTATAATGAAGACGCTTATGATGAGGACCCCCTGTACTGACTCCTATTTATTACTTATATTTTAAACTTAATACTCACATACGAAAACTATATTGCTAGTTAGGCAACATTTTGATACCAAGAAAACTTTGCTTGCTGTAAATGTCTACAAACTATCACCTTTTCAAATTCCCCCCCCCCATATTTTGTTCAAAGCCACCCTGTGCACGAAAATCACCCCATCTTATTGTACTGTATAAAAATCACTGCAGACCCACAGGGAGCTCTGCTCACTGTGTTCTGGGAAACAATAAAACACTAACCTTTTCACGCTTCAGTTGATCATCATATTCTCTACGTTTCTGTGTGTCTCCAAGAACGTGCCAGGCCTCTGTCACTTTCAAAAATTTCTCCTTGGCACCTTCCACTGCAGACTTATCTGGGTGATACTGCCGTGCTAACTCCTGATACTGCCGACGAATTTCAGTTTCACTAGCATCTTGGCTCACACCCAAAACATCATACAAAGTCATCTGGAAGCACGCATGTTTTCTATTGATCTTGTAATTGTTATTTAATAAGTAATATTAATATCATGTTAGATTTGTACAATAGATTTATATAGGAAGATTCATCTCAGTGGTAAATTTATAATTTCTTATGATTATTTCAGTGGATGGAAGAATTATATACACCACATTTACAAATTTTCTTAATAAAAAGTAAATCCTAAAGTTACACACTCTCCAAGTTTGCAAGTTCAATATTGTACAGTTGCCTCCACATGAATGTACCATGGCCTGGGAATGTATAAGAGCACAGGAATGAGATATGGCAAAGCAACGTGGCAGTCATGGGCGTGAAACTGTGGATTACTGTGTTTGCCGGTTCCCTGTAGTTCAGTCCTAGTCACTCAGCTGTGTTTACACAATGGTGCTGCATAACATAAACAAATAAAGTACAGTATCCATGTGATAAGTGTTCTTCAGCATTGATGTGTAGCCACACAAACAGGGTAATTTTACCGTTTCACGCCCTCACATATTCTCAGGCTGTGGTATGTTTATATGGAGGCAACTGAACATCATAAAAACCCACTTCGTTATTCTGCAGATGAACCCGGGAGTTATGGGCGAAAATTGTAACACTGCCATAATCAATTTAATTTCCAAGTGAAAGTTTTCTGTATCAGAAATGATATCAAGGGGGAAAATCAAATACAGTACTGTATTGAAATACAGGTACATAAATTAAGAAATATTGAAATCCAATTATATAACAGAACCCGAAAAGAATGACTCGTGAATATGTCGAGTAAGCTTTTAGGCTTTGCATCCTGGGAAGCCCTAGCTATGGTTAGGCCAATTTGAAAGATCAACTCACATAACCAATACAGCTCCTCCCCGACTTGCAACGGGGTTAGGGACCCAAATCCAGGTCATAAGTCGAAATGGTCGTAGGTCGAAAATGCTTAAATAATACATAGAAAATCTAAAATGGGTGTCTCTTTTTCTTCTCAGCACCACAAAACTCTCACTTTTAAGCTTGCCAGCCATTTTAAAGTGAATTACAAACGAAAATTTTGTCAGTACACTGACGTTGGGACTCGAAAATACGTAATTTGACAAAATTTTGGTACGACCGAGGCAGGTCGTAAGTGCGGGTGGCGGTAAGTCGGGGAGGAACTGTATTACCAGAAACCATCACCACCCATCATCAACACAGTTCAACAACCATGTTCTATGCTTACATAGGTTAGATTGAGGTAGAGGAGAAACAAGACTCACCTAAGAAGATATCTTATAGCTACTTAAAAAAAAAAAAAAAAAAAAGCCACCTCTAACACATTCCAAGAGCAGAGTATCCTACTAGAGGAGTGAAACTACCTAACAAAACCTTATGTGCATACAAATAAAGGGACTCTGGGTAAACTGAAGCCAATATTAAAAAAAAAAGTACAAAATATATATACTGTACTGTAGAGCCCTTTAGCTTCCTCCTTGATGTGGCCACATGTAAGGAGAAAGAGGAAAGGAATATTTCACTCTACCTCCAGTAAAGGAGAACACCACTCAGTATAAAGGGGTTTCCTGGATATCACTTACATAGGAAATAAAGATATGATCCTGCACAGAAAATTCACTTGATCAGTGATCATCAAAAGTGGAAAGAAGAAACTGATAGAAAAAATACCGTAAGGTTAAGTGATTGACATTAAAATTTATCTGTGTGTGCTAGGGAAAGTATCTTTTTCATCCCCTACTTTCAAATCCCTAGAAACAACACAAAAGTTGATAACCACACATCCTAGATAGACTGGTTCTCCTTTTGAAATTTCAGCTTATTTTAGGAGAGGCTGGCAAACCTGAGACAAAGTTGTCAAATAGTTTTTTTTGAAGGATTTGGGTACGCTGAATATATTTCTGGAATATGACAAACTAAATATTGCAATGCTTTGGAGTTAGAGTTATACTGTATATTGAAAATGGCTACCGTGCAGAAAGGGAAACTTTGACACTAGTCGGTAGAGACAATAGAAAGCTTTTATTTAGTTTTTACACACTCTCAGTAATTATACATACGTTTAGAATAAACTGTTCTTTGTGTTATTTGAAAATTTGGAGCATATTCAGACTAAAAACCCTCAAAATTAAATCATGCAGTGACAGTATTCATATACAGTTGGGTCTTCATTTACACGGTCAATTGAACCCGTGGAGTACTGCGTAAAACGAGAAACGCGTATATGAAATAACAGAACATATGGGATTAATTGAAATAGAGATTGGGCCGACCCCCAAACTCCACTTTTTCCGACACAATACGTTCCTTGTAGTCAAAATAACACCTTAATTTTATGATGGTATGCACACACAATTAATAATTAAGAGAAAGATCAATAATATTAGGTTTTTTAACACTTACGTTAGTAGAAAAGATGGCTGGGCACACGGGGATGGGAGGTTGGTTCCGAGGCAGAGGGCAGATTATTGGCCCTCACCTGTATCACTTGTATCACTATCCACCACATAGGCTTGCAGGGCCTCTTTGTCAAACTCCTCAAAGTCCATATCCTCACTATCACTGACTTGGGCTGGCTGTGGTGGGTGGCGGGTGAAGAACTCGGTAATGTTTTGATGACTGGGCGACCTTGTGCGCACCCTGCCCGCGCCGCTTCCCGCGTAAATGACCAAATTTACCGCGTAATTAAAGCATTTCAATTCTGGCAAGGCACCATGTAAATGACCAAACGTGTAAACAAAAACCGCGTAAATCCAGACTCAACTGTACTGTACACAAGTAACAAAAGAATTACACTCTGTGGAGACATCTTTCAATATTTTTCTACATTTATCTAGAAACTGCTGATATAAAAAAAACAATATGAAATGAGAATGAAACTGAAGCAATATAAAATAATAATGAAAGCGAACATATATATTAATTAAATAAGGCAAAAGAAAAAAAGCATTAATACTGTATTATAATAAAATTTCATTGTCTTTCAAATGTTCCTGCAGATTTTGTCAGTTGTGCTGCAGTTACATGCAGCAGTATACACCAGCTTTGACTTCTTTTACATTTACAATGAACACTTATGCACTGTTTGGTGCATCTGCAGCTGATGAGCTCCATGCACGAGTCAGGCACTGAAGGCAGGGACTTGAGATCAGGGACAAGTGAGTCATCATCTAATCTCTATCCCATTGTCTCAAGTTGGGGCAGCATGTCAGCTTGCTGCCAAATGGATGCCTGGTAGTGTGCACACTTTATGTGGAAAGACAGAGCATCACTTGTTGGTGGGAGGGTTTCTAAGGTGTGGGCTCAACCAAAAAGAATGGAGTGAGCCCTGTCCACTGATGTAGCTACATCACACTTGTAGACTGCAATGAATTATCGGCATTGTGGACTGCTTTCTCACAGAGACCACCTTTACCAAGTAATTGTAAGAGATTCTGATGCTCCTTGAAGACATTCCAACAGTACTTTTTGGTGTGATCAGCCAAAAAGGATGTAGTGCCAGAGCCTGTCCGAGCATGAAATGCAAGCAGTGTGCTCAACATACTATTATCAAGTTGAGCTGTAATACGTAGTGTGGATTGGGATGTATTTTCTGTTCTTGGATGTCCTGGACTTCATCCATAATTTCGAGCATGGTATCTTGCTGAAATGTGCTAGGAGGAGGACCAAGATATCAGTTTCCCAAGCAGCAACAACAATGCTTGATGTTTGGCTCCTCACGCAGTGTAAAATTATTTGAGTGTCGGCCTCTTCATGACGAGCTTCAAGGACTTCTGTGACTCAGGATTTGAGGATTCCACCTGCTCCTGATTACTAAACCCACCAGATATTACAATATTCTTGTTGCTTGCAGAATCCGCTGTCGGGACAAGAATGCTGCCAGATCAGCCTTATTTTCTGCAAGGGCAATAAAACTCTCCCATTTTAGTGGAAGGGGCACATCCCTACTCTGCACCTCTCTTCTCACTGGTACTGCACCTTTCCCCCATCTTTTTCTGGTTCCACTTTTGATTGAAATTTAATAATACCTGTCTTAGATGACGTCTATGCGGCTGAATGAAGCTCCACTTTTCCCACTCTTCAAGACAGACAACAAATACATCTGCCAAATCCCCAAATGTTGTCGTTTCCCAATATCTACCACGAGAGCCTGACCATCAATGATGTGTGTTGCTTCTTCACCAAGGTCCGTTGCTTGCCAGACTTGGTGGGCAAGGTGTTTTGCCTATCAGTACCTCTGACAGAAGTGCCTTTGACCCTGACCAGAGATCACCATTCATTTCTGCAATGGCTAGAGGGATGGGCATGAGCTCATGCTTCAGCATATCGTCAAGAATGACATCTCTTCCTGATTGAAAAGCAGCGATCAGACATTGAAGGAGTTTTCTATCTGCTTTGATGAATTTCTGTGGGCTAATTGTGGATTTCTTTTGTTCCACTTTAGAGAAGAAAAGGTCAGAGGTTTGTTCCTGGGTAAGGTGTCACTGAATTTCACCTGTTTGTCACCGCAAGCATAAGTCGCTCTTCAACAAATGTGATCAGCTGCTCTTGTCCTTTCTGATGAGCCATCAGGTCTTTTTCCATTTTCTTTGTAACAATATCCTTTATGGCAATGTTTTGCAAGTTTGGAGATGCATCCACTGAGAATAGTTTGAAGGCCTGCAATGTTGCTAACAGGTTATCTTCATCTTGTAAGTCATGTTTCTGCCTGGCTTTGTTACATTCATTGTGCGTGAATGCGTCATCTGACCCTATTCCATACACATATTTGGTTTCACTGGCGAGATGAGATTGGAGGTCGTAAGAGAGGGCCCATCTGCTCAAGGCTGATGTTGTTTTGGTGATGCCGACAATACCACCACCTTCCTTCCCAGTGACGTTCAGCCAATCCTGGCTTTGATCAGGATCCACTTGATTAAACGACTGTTTTGACCACTTCACTACAAAGTTCCCTTTATCAAAAATATGCTTTCACATCATCAAGAAGCTGGTGCATCTCACTGACATACAC